AAACTGCAAGCAATTTGTACAATGATTGCTTCTTGGATTAACTTATTTTACAGGTTTATTATGAAAATCATATGAAATCATTTATGTGACAGTGTTTTGATAAGTAAAAATGAAGTGTATGAATAAAAGATGGTAGTGATACTCTGTCTTATTTCTCTCACTTATTTTTTTTTGGGGGGGGTTCCATCTGTTGGCTTTTAGCCAAGTTTTTCTTGTTCCCATCCCCTTTTCTTGTTTAGCTTTAGCCTATACCATTTTTATTGTTATCAAAATAGCTGCTTTTATTTCTTAAACCAGGATCCACCCTTCCCCTCTTTCAAAGCGCAACTCAGAGCTACCTCCTGTGGAAAAACTTCCCAGTCTTGCAGAAGGAAATGATAAACTTCCAGATAGGCCATTACACCACTCCCACAGGTTCCCCAATCAGTATGTATTTAAGTGTCTAGCCTAGCACACAGTAATGGGCATTTTTGTAAGAGTTTCACCATTTATAAACACTTTCACTCACATTACCACTCTTAAAATGTTTTCACAAATGTGATATACTAAGCATTTTTTTTAAATTAAGAAATTAAGGATAAATTACTTCCCCAAGGAAGTACTGAATAGCAAGTAATAAAAAGGAGGGAAGGAGTCACAGATCTGGGTTTGTCACTTCTTCGTACCTACCACACAGGGTTGTTGCAAGGATATTAGGCAATGTGTGGTAGTAGGGCTTATAAAAATGGAATTACAGGGGCTGGCCGGTCAGCTCACTTGGGAGAGCATGGTGCTGGTAACAAAAAGGTCACAGGTTTGGATCCTCTAACCGGCCGGACGCCAAAGAAAAGAAAAAGATTTTATGGGCCGGCCCGTGGCTCACTCGGGAGAGTGCGGTGCTGATAACACCAAGGCCCCGGGTTCGGATCCCATATAGGGATGGCCGGTTCACTCACTGGCTGAGTGTGGTGCTGACAACACCAAGTCAAGGGTTAAGATCCCCTTACCGGTCATCTTTAAAAAAAAAAAAAA